TTCTGCTCCCGGGGCCTGCTGCTTTTCCCCAGGGCCACCCGTCTTTGCGGAGCACCCGGGGCTCGGAGCAGAGAGGCCGATGCAGGAATTCCCTTGGCGAGGAAGCAGCCCCAAAGCGGGTGCCGGATGGGGCATTTCGGGCTGGAATATCCCACCTGCAGCCTGTCCTGGCGCAGGGCTGCTCCCACTTGCTCCAGGCTCCCTGGCTTTGCTGTGTTGCTGTCCCGGCAGTTTGTCCGTACGGGAGCTGGGGGTGCCCCTCCTGACAGCTTGGGGGGGGATGTTGCGGCGGCGTAACCATCACCACTGCGCCCTCAGGGACCCCGCTGCGAGACAGTGGGGGCTGTGCCAGGCTCTGCATCTCCCCGACTTTGTGGTCTCTGAGCTTTGACCTTGGCAGAGGTCAGCATGGAGCTAGGTCCCAGGTGATGGCGAGGCTCGTGGGGTTTAGGGAAAAGCAGCTCTGGGAGCGTGTTCCCATTGCTCCGCGCACATCTTTTCCGCTTAAAAAGTGGGTTTCCCCGTTTCCTCCTTGGCTCCCATCCCGCTCCGCGGGGCTTTGCTCCCGTGCGTAGGGAAATAACCCTCTGCTCCCGCGCGGGGCAGAGCCATCGCCTTATCTGATGGTCTGCTGGGATAAGCGAGTCTCTCTGGTTTGCGCCGAGTGGATTTTCTAGCTTTGCCCGGATTGTTTTGGCCCGTAGAAAGTTGCTCGAGGGTGATGGAAACAGCCACGTCCCTTTGATCTTTTAATCTCGAGAGGCAGCATGTGGAGATTACGTGTCCCCGTGCGCGGTCCGGAGCTGCACGCCGGGAGCTGTAGTTTCCCCAGCGTCCCGCCTGCCCGTCGCTGCTAAAGCGAAGCCCGTTTCTTTGCCCCTCAGACCGCTGGTCTCAGGAGGACATGCTGACTCTGCTGGAGTGCATGAAGAATAACCTGCCCTCCAACGATGGGAGCAAGTTCAAAACCACCGAGTCCCACCTGGATTGGGAGAAAGTGGCTTTCAAGGACTTCTCAGGGGAGATGTGCAAGATGAAGTGGATGGAGATTTCTAACGAGGTACGCGACGGCCACGCGGGGCTCGTGGGGGTCCTTGCGAGAGGGACGGGGCGTCCCGTTGACCTCCCAGGGCTGTTCGAAACGGTTGGGTTCAGCGCCCCGAGTCCTCGGCCCTTAGCGCCGACGCCGTCCCATTGCCTTTGGCGTTGTGAAGCCCTCAGAGGCGCCACGATGGGTCTTTTGCACGACGCCATGATGAAACCCTGCGGGTTTATGCTGTGCCGAGCGTGGCCCGGCGTTTAGCAGGGATCTGCCCTGTCCCTCACACGCAGCCAGTTCACGTTCGTGGCCCTGCTTTACCCCGCAGGTGAGGAAGTTTCGGACCCTCACGGAGCTCATTATGGACGCCGAAGAACACGTGAAGAATCCTTACAAGGGCAAAAAGCTCAAGGTATCAGACAGGAATTGGGGTCCCAGCCCTAAAGGGGGACTTCCCCCTTCCCCGGGACAGAGGGCACCACGCCCGTGTGGCTCTGCCACCGGAGCCCCTCCGGGCACCTCGCCGCCCGTAATCCCCACGGCCGACTGCCCAAGGCTCCGGAGGCCGCGGGCTCTGGGCCGGGGCCAAGTGCAAGGTACATTTAATATGACCGGCTGTATTGCTGGCAGCCTGCATCCAAGTTTTGCACTGGGGGGGGAGGGGGGGCTGGGGAGCCGGCCTATATTCCTGGCCTCCCGGGTTGGGTAGGGTGCTGCTTTCGGCCAGGCAGCCCCAGGGAAGTCAATGCTCTGCCACCGGCCGTCCTCAGGAGGTGGGTCCCGTCCCCTCCTGCTGCCTCAGTTTCCCCTCTTGCAGCACAACAGCTCTGGATGGCTGGAGGCTGCTCCCGAGATACCCAGCCCTGGGATATTTGAGTTCCTGGGAAAGGGAGTGCTCGTTCCCAGAGTTTCTCCCCGCCTTTGCCTGCAGAGCTGAGGTGATCCCATGTCAGGATGCTGGGGCACCAGCAAGGCTGGACGGAGGCAAATCTGCCCTGGTGCAGGGAGGAGCTGGGAGTCGGTGGGGTTTGGCTGTGCCCTCTTTACCACCAGCTCCGCACTCAGTGTCTGCTGCTCTGCTGTCTCCCCAGAAACACCCCGACTTCCCCAAGAAGCCCCTGACTCCGTATTTCCGCTTCTTCATGGAGAAGCGGGCCAAATACGCCAAGCTTCACCCTGAAATGAGCAACCTGGATCTCACCAAGATCCTGTCCAAGAAATACAAGGAGCTTCCCGAGAAGAAAAAGGTACGGGGGGGCTGTCAGCACACCCCCTTCCCACTTGTGTGCGCCTCTGCATGCTGAGCTCTGCTCAGCTCTCCCAGGAAAACCAGCAGAGCCCAGCCTCTGCCCGATGAGGGTTTAATCCAGCTCTCGATAGGAGAAACCCGGGTGCTTCTTTAGTCCCGTCAGACCAGTAAGACTTCCTCTCCTTTTTCTGTCCTGGTTCCCAGGCTCTGTGGGGTGGAGGCTGGCTGGGTCTGTCCCTTGGTCCTTCTCTTCCAGACGGACCTGGATGGTGACTTTGTCGTTGGGTGGATCTCTATTTAATGCTGGGGTTAAGTCACACACCCAGCTGTGGCTGGGTGGAGGGGCTGGCTCTGCTCTGAGCTGTGGGAGATGCCGGGAGGAGAGCTGCCCACCTCACCTCTGGCTTGGGGGGTGGCCTTAGGCTTGGCTAGAGCCTGGGCAGATGTTTTGGCTGCCCGAGCTTTCACTCTGGGTGAATTTGCCACCTGCAGGAAAGATCCAGGGCTGCTAGGGTGCAGGGAGACGGAGGAGATCCTCCCTCTCGATTCCTGGGCAGGCTGGAAACCCTCAGCGGGGAGCTGTAGGACCAGTCTGATGGGCTGGAGAGCCCTCGAGTCCCTTTAGGGGTAGTGGGGTGCGTGTTCTCGGTGCTGACGTCCCTCTCCACCTCCCTGGTGGCTTTGTGTCCCCAGATGAAATACATCCAGGACTTCCAGCGGGAGAAGCAGGAGTTTGAGAGGAACCTGGCAAGGTTCAGGTGAGCAGGCAGCCTCCCCACCGCGTGTCCCTGGGCCTCTCCAGGCAGACCCAGTCTCCTCTCTTGTGTGTAGCTCATGGAGGAAGCCCTGGTGGGTGCTGCAGCTTGAAGACAGAAGGGAAGGGGGGATGCCAGAAAGAAAAGAGCAAGGAAAAGGTGTCCGAGAGCTGCCTTCTGGCTGGGAGGCTCAGAGAGGCGGGGGGAATGGAGGACCAGCCACGCTCTGGGTGTTGGGATCTGCTAGGCAAGGACAGGAGCATTTCCACCAGCACTGCTAAAAGCTGAAGCGACCACCCCGTTCCCCACCAGACCTTCCCTTTGACCGTGGTCGCTGCCACCTGGGTGGATCCTGGCGTTCCCGGTCACCTGTGACTGCTCCAGGGATGCAGCCCAGCCCCTCGCATTAAAGGGGGATGCTTGTAGCTGATGCTCCCCCGGGAGACTCGAATCTCTCCTAAAACCTTTCTGCTCTTTTCAGAGACGCCCCCTAGTATAGGAGCCCGTGGGGGCTCAGCCTTGCGGAGATGGTTCCCCCTTAGCAGTGAGGTTTAGGGGGTTCTCTCCTTCCACCTGCAACTTCCGTAACGCTCTCCCTTCCCCGCCCCCCTGCCGGGTAAAGGGAAGATCACCCGGACCTCATCCAGAACGCCAAGAAATCCGACGTCCCCGAAAAACCCAAGACCCCCCAGCAGCTGTGGTACAACCACGAGAAGAAGATCTACTTGAAAGTGCGTCCAGATGTGAGTACGGTGGGTGGGAGTGCGTGTGAGCGTGAGTGTTGAGGGGTCCTGGTACCCCGCTGCTGGGGGGAGAGGAGGGGGAAACGAGAGAAGCTTTTTAGGGGGGGGAACGGGATGGAAGACACCGCTAGAAGCTCTCAGCAGTCTGGACGGAGGTAAGAAAGGGCTCTGCACACCTGGAAGAGGCTCGGGGATACAGATCCCCCTTTTTGCCTGCAGTCGAAGGGGTGACCACAGCCTGAGTCAGGGCAGGAAAGATATCCAGCACAAACATCCACCTCTGGCCATGCCCCCCACTCACACGCACCCCCTTCCCC